TAACTTTCTAGGATCTTTATTGACTCCAAGTAATCCAGAGTAGAACGAGATGAATCAACGCTATACTCCGCCATCTTTATTTTAATATTAGATGCAACCATTATTCTGTAGGGGCAACGGGTCATAACTTGAGGGGAGTTAACACCCAGGATTTTTAAAATGCCTTGATCAATAAGAGTCTAAGTTACAGGGAACATTATTTTGATTTTTCAATGGACCAATAAATGCATTTGACAGGAAAATAGAAAAACTCTACCACAACAGCAATTAGAACAGCTTGCTGCATTATAAGTATCACTTCCCTGTCAAATTCGTGGTTCATGCTTATTTGAATCTGAACATAACAGGCCAATTCTATCACACTAGGCTAGGCTTGAACTTCCATCCAATCAGAGCATTCCAAATGAACATGATTCTCCACAAATACTCGAGGGCGCTCTGACCAAAAAATTGCCATTATTTAAATAAAAAGAACTGATTGTCATACATCATCAAACATGGCGACCAACACCTTAGGGCTGAAGTTTTCAATCTGAGTTTCTTCGAATATTTTCTGATTGACATTGCAGTCTTTCTAATTGTGGTAATTGCTGTCATCTTCTGTAATTTGTAACTCATATTTCAATAAGAAGATCATCAAGATGAAGGTCATTTAAAAAAAGTTGAATTTTTTATGTTGATAAAAGTTAATGAATTGAAACGATTGTGCTCAGTTAGAGTCTATGTATACAACATCACTATAAGTAGCGTCCACTTGTTGCGAAAGTTTCAATTACTTTAGTGGCGCCAGTTACTAAAATGCGATAGTATTTTGTATTCTGCTTGTTCATTATTTGTGCAAAATTAGAATAATACAACACTGTTTCTATTGATATAAAAACTAGCTTTCCAAATCATGGTTAATAGCGCTCTCATTACCTGCAAATAGCGTAGTATTTCCATGCAGAATCAATGTAAATCAAAAACTCCAATTGTTAGAAATGAAGGTGGATCATATTGGGAAACAAATTTGCAAGACCGCGTACTCCTTTTTACCGAGTATAGTATTATTCTTTGCTGCCCTCGGTCGTACGGCTGACTCGCCTTCACAAGCTTGGACACTCCCACCGAACAAACTCGGGTTGTATCAAATCCATAAAGGTTTCATCATATTTTTTATAGGTCTAATTAATAGTTTACCACGGAGTGATCTCAACCACGCGACGTAATTTAGAATTACGTGTTTTTGTTTTGATTGATGAAACCCAGACGGGCCGGACCGGGCACGATAGGGAAATTATTGCCCCGGTGTGAGGGCGCATTCCCCATAGCGTTACGAGGCCGTGCAATACAAGGTATATGATGATAAAGTATATTTTATTTAACTTGAAATCACGTATAGAAATGAAAATCACGGTAAAATGTATCTATTATTGTCACATATCACACATTTCAGCAAAAAAGCAAAAATACGACATATATTCCTAAAATTTTTAAAAAGAAACCCTTTATGAAACATAATTAACAGACCCTTTTGGTGTTTCGCACATCCATTGGGAAGTTTTTACTTTTTCAAGGTCAGTGAAAACAAAGGTGACAAGAGAGGTTATGCTCCAGGAGAATGGTACAGCTCGCCATGTAGTTCATAACCGTCTTTAGTGTTTTAGGTAGCAGTTCCTAGTTGACGGGCACAAACATGCCAAAACGAAGTTCACAACGGAAAGACCAGCTGAACAGTACTATGCTATAAATAATTTACCTACGGCGTGGTTATGTGTTTAGAATCGGCAGTCTGGTGCAGTTGGTGCTTGATGGGTATTACTTGGCAGGTTTATAACGTTAATTTCTCATTATTTTAGAATGTTGGCGAAATGTACTAGGCAATTCCCCTAGTAAAACTGTTGCAAACTGGTAGCTAACGTGTGACATGCGATGGGGTCAACGAACTTAGTGACCTTAGTGATGGTAATACGGTCTGCAGAATAAGCTTACACTGGTTCCCTGGTTAGATTTGATTTACTACATACTCTCGCTGTGCAGACGTGATACAATTACGAGATTATAGCAAAACGTAGCTATCGTGCTGTACTACAGTTCCAGGGACGATAAAATTGAAGAAAGAGACTTGTTATTTACGCTTGCATTACGTTTAACAGAAAAGAGATCCCAGCGTGATACCTGTCCCCAATAGTTCATTGTATTCGAGTCAACTTTTCTTGACACAGCTGAAAGAAGATCACGTGATTTTCATTGTACTGGTACTGCTAAGCAGCGTCCTCGTGTTTATTTAACCTTGTGCCTAGTATACAGTGCGGTCATCGCGTCCCACGTATTTCATACCTATTGGATTATGGCACGATTCCAGACGAGTCGCGATCTTTTACTACTAACACTGATATGTGTGTTATTGGGAAGTGTGTCTTGCCACAAAGTTCTGATTCTTCCGGGAATCTCCGTTGGTAGTCACTTTCTATACTTTGCTAAACTCGGTGAGCATTTGAAGAGCAAAGGTCACGATGTTACAATGTTGTTAGGAGAAAACAACAACGCCCTGAACAAAATACCTCACATTGTAGACAGTTTCCACTTTGAGAAATATACCACTGCCATGGACAACGAACTTATGACCAAGCTGGACAAGATGCTTACAAAGTCTCTAAATGGACAGTTTAATCCTATGGATGTTATGTTTATAAATAATGCTTTAGTAGAAGATTGTGTGTTACTGCTCGAAAACCAGGAACTGTTTCAACGCTTAAAGAGAAAAGAGTTTGATATCATACTTATCAACAACTTTGCTGCATGTACAATCCTTATGTCACAAAAACTAGATCTACCGTTTGTCATTGTATCCACCAATCGACCGATGACAATGATGGATGCATATTATCTCAATATGCCGAGCCCCATATCATATGTCCCATCAATGATCTCTGGACTCTCTGACAACATGAACTGTGGTCAAAGATTAAGTAACCTTATCTACCGTATTATCGGTCATTTAATGTATAGGTTCCTGTTTTTAGCTCCTTATGACGAATTGAAACTGAAGTATGACATTAAACCGGAAATGGGTATGATGACATCATCTGGAAGAAGCGAGATAACATTATTTGCTGTAGACTGGGCATTGGAGTTTCCAAGGCCAATAATGCCGAATACGATATTTCTTGGTGGTTTGTTAGCTTCACCACAATCCCCTCTCACAAATGTAAGTAAATATATATATATAAGCAACTAAGTACTGTGATTGAACTCAACATGTAAGAGAACGCTGTAGCATATCGTCAAATGTTTTGTTTATTTTATTTAATCTCTTTTCACTGTTAATAATCAGTGCACATTCTATGTATTAGTAACTAGTGCGCATGTGCATGTTATTATTTGTTAGTTTGAAATGAATGGTCACAGTAGATATTATAGAAACGTCGCATTGTTATTTATTTATTGACAGATAAAACATTGAAACACACGTTTCGTGTCTCAAACACTACAAATCAATACACAATTGAAATGAATAAAAAGTATCATGTGACAAATTGAAGAAAATGTTCTCCACGAAGTACTACAATGTACTTGTACACGCGGTGGTAGTCTAGGCCTTTAATTTCACATGAAACGTTGTGCCATTGCAGGAGTGGGTTGAGTTTATGAAGTCTGCTAGACATGGGGTTGTTATATTATCTTTTGGTTCGACGGCGGATCTTGCATCCTGTCCCGAAAAAGCGGAACTGGTTTGCGCCGAGCTTGCCAGATTACCACAGAAAGTAATTATGAAATATAATGGACCTCCACCAATAACTCTTGGTAATAATACCAAATTGACAAAATGGATGCCACAAAATGATTTACTTGGTAGGTGTGTTAATTCATATATGGGTTTGTAGTAGTTACAATATTTACCTCGCTGAAACCACTCGCTTTTGCAGAGTCTATGGGCCTATGACCTGGCCTAGCGAGCCACAGAGAGTTGCAACTAAACTCGTTTTTTAAAAATTCATATATTTCTTATATCCTAAGCTTCTGTTGGAAAAATTGTGTGTTATTTAAAATAAATATATCAAATATTTTTACATTCAGTGATATTTTTTTTTTCAAATGTTAAAATTATGAAAAAGTAGATCCTGTGGTAAAAGACGTAGGTGTGACTCGTCGATTCAAATCGTCGGCGCATTTTTCGTTCGACTGCAACTCGACTCTATGTAGATTATTGATCGACCAGTGTTGAATTCTCACTGCATTGTAAAAGAACTGATGAGTATTGTAATTTAGTGTATTGATTTTACCTAATTCAATTCATAGGGCATCCTAACACCAAAGCATTTGTAACTCATGGCGGCATGAATGGTGTATATGAAGCTATATATCATGCTGTTCCAATTGTTGGATTTCCTTTGTATGGTGATCATTATGATACTTTCAGCAGAGTATCTAGTAAAGGCATAGCAGTTATTCTTGATATTGGTACGCTGACTCCAGGTGAACTCTACAATGCTGTAATCAAAGTTATTAACACTCCCAGGTGAATAGTTAAAATATACCATGCACTGTACATGAAGGAAACTATGACAACATAATTTCACAGCTGCCACATCATGCAAAAATTTGTTTGTATCAGATGTATATCATTTAAGCCCAACAAAGGAAATTAAAAATTAACCAGCGTCGACAGGAATAAATATTTTCACTTTCAATGACACTTCACAATATATATATATATATATATATATATATATTCTTTGTTGCAGACCAAAAAGAAATAACTTTATTATTTTGTAATATTGATAAAATATTTTTTTATGATATATATTTACTTTTAAGCTAGAATTTATACATTTTACATTCCAGTTATAAAGAGAATGCAAAGAAGATATCAGCTATACACAAAGACAAACCCATGTCAGCAGGTGACACTGCTGTATTCTGGATTGAATATGTCATCAAACATGGCGGCCAACACCTCAGGGCTGCAGCTTTTAATCTGAGTTTCATCGAATATTTTTTGATCGATATTGCAGTCTTTCTAATTGTGGTAATTGCTGTCGTCTTCTTTGTATTAAAGAAAGCGATAACTGTAATTTGTAACATATATTGCAACAAGAAGATCATCAAGATGAAGGTCACTTAAAAGTTGTGTTTTTGATGTTGATTAAAGTTAGTATTTGTAACACACTATACGCTTGTAAGTGGAACAGTTTGCATTTAATACAAAAATGACAATGGCAGGAAAGTGTCTATGATCCAGATATGCAAAATAGAGCTAAAAAGAAATCAAGAGGGTGGGAAAAGTGGGAAGGTGGTGGGAACAAATTGATTGAAAACAAAACGATGCTCACTTAAGTGTGGCTAAATACGTGAATGACTAAGACAAAGGCACACAAAAGGAAACAATTAGCAAGGAACGCTACGGGATGTGTGCAAAATTACACTGATTGATCTGCAAAAAACAATGCTGTTATAGGTAAACAATGTTGTGATAGACCAAATGAACGAGCTGCGATTGGCTGAAGGCAAGACGGCCAGAATCTGGATTAAGCTCTAAACGAGGACGTTTCACAAAATCGAACAGAGGAACAGTTTGCATTTAATACAAACACGAAAATGGTAAGTATAACTCAAATACAGAAGCACAAATCACAATATAAAAGAATAACTACAATTATAAAAATCCAACTACAAAATTGGGAAGAGGCTCCTTTAGTCACACCACAGAGGTCAAAGCAATGACCCACTTGCAGGGCAGGTCAATGTCTTGAACTTGAAATGTAAAGGAGAACCTGCTGCTAAGCCGAGATACATGAGCAGTGACCAAGAAGATGACCGCCGAGCCCTGAAATGGGGGCGGGACAGGATGGAGTCCATGTGCCTAAACCGAGGGAGGGAGGCATAAAGTGGTGACCCAAAGGGACCCCCATGGAGAAGATATAAAAGCCTCGGCCAAGAGCACATAGTTTATATGTCGGCCCAGGGGAGCAGGAGCTGGAAGATAGGTGTGTGTTGGTCCATGAGGAAATGCGATAGCAAAGAAGATGAAAAGAGCCTGAACCAAGAAACATAATTGGTATTCCAGGCATAAACGAGGACAGGTATCTGTTGACCTAAGTGAGAAATTAGGTGATAATGCTGCTCGACCCAGTGGATGTAAGTGGTACATTAGCCTGGGGGAGAAAACATGTAGAAAAATAAAATACAACAACGCTAAGGACATGGGCAAAATAAGTTATGTACATGTTGTGAAAAGAAAATACAAATTGCTAAAAGCTAAATGCACGCAGCAGAATGCCAGGTTTATGGCAAGAGCAATTGGTATAGTTCAATAACCATATAGAAGCAAGTGTCCTAAAAGCTGACTGAAACAACTGTTCTGATGTATGTGTGAGCACGGAGTGCAGAGGATGAACCGCTTGGACTCCATGTGTCGTGGGCTAAGACCAATATTCAGGCCTTCGAAGACAGCTTGGATAACTTTGTCAGGTCCATCTCGGCAAAGGGTGGGAATGTGGATGTCACTGATTCGTTTGTCTACCTCGACAGTGTGATCAGCAGCTATGCCAGCTGTTAGGCTGAGGTCGCAAGACGTCTTGGCCTTGGTCTTGCTCCAGGCACATTCCCAACAATTAACTCATAGATTGGGTCCTGCACACATAATGCTTCAACCATGCCTCTCAAATATGGCGTATCAATTTCCACCATGGCGACTGGAACCCTTACAATACGATCAACCATCAATATATGACCCATCTTTTTTGTATACTGGTCATCTGGTACCAAGCTCTTCTCGACTATAATGCCATTACACCCAGTGTCTCTCAACATGGTCACAACTGTGTCACCAACCTTCCCTTGACCCACAGGCAAAGTCCTGTCCTCCACAACGCCACACCGTTTCATACATGCACCATTCACAACCTTTACCAGACCACTGTGCCACTAGGTACTGCTTTGCTATTACTGCCAACTCATCTAAATCTTTGGGTGCTCTTTCTTTAAGATAAACTGCAAGATCTCTTGTACAGGCACCAATAAACTGCTCCTTCACCATCAAGTCGGTAACACCATCATATGTGCAGTGCCTGACAACTCAACCCATTTAGAAAAATAATTCTTAAGCCGCACAATTAACTGGTCAGGACTCTCGGAATTTTCAGGTTTAATTTCACGGAATCGCTTCCTGTACCCATCCTGCTTCCCCTCGCCGCT